ACAGACACACACAGATTTAAAGATTGTGAAAAGTTGTGATTCTGAAACTAAATAATTTCTATGAAACATCTCAAAGAGAGAGAGAGAGAGAGAGAGAGAGAGAGAGAGAGAGAAAGAAAATCATATTATCTTTTGTTTTTCGAGTCTTAATAGAGAATACATGGAAGAAAAGCAATAAGAAATGATAATGATTATTGTTGTTGGTATTATCATTGTTGACTTTATAAAATTTTAATAATTTCTCCCCCCATCATCATCATTGATTCTTATTGACATGATGATGGGAAAAAGAAATAATCGAGTGAAACAAACAAATAAACAGGGAAAATGAAACTAATAATGATGATGATCAAATGTGAAAAATGTTTTTTCGATTATATATTCGATGAGAAGAAAAAAGAAAAGAAAAAAGGAAAATAAATCTTTTTTTTTCCAATGAGATAATGAAAGTCCAAGTGTAGTACTTGTTATAAGGAATATCTATTCTTTTCTACTTTCTTTTCTTTCCAAACTTATATTGTACACGTTGGCGAAAAACAAACAAACAAACAAAATACACGATTTGTTTTTTTTACCGACAACAGAATTTATTCATTCATTCAATTATGGTTATTATTATTATTATTATTGCCTTGTTGTAATTCAGGCACCCAAAAATGATAATAATAATAATAATGATAACAACAGAACCGAATCGAACCGAAAAAAAAGTAATTTTCCAATGTATGGATAATTTGATCGTATAGAAAAAGAATTCCTAAGATAATAAATGGAATTTTTAATGTTGTTTTTTTTCTTCTATCTTCTTCTTGTTCTTCTTCTCAATGATCAACTTGCATATACAACTTTTTCTTGAAACTGTTGTTGTCGATGTTGTTGTTGTAAAATGCGTTAAAGTCAAATGAAAATTTTTTTGTTTTTCTTGTCATGTAAATGACGACAACAACGATGATGATGATTATATATCAACATTATGTATAAAAGTTCAACGAAAAACGAAAAGATGTTTTTTAACCTATAGAATCCATGGAATCAGAAAAAAAAATTATTTAAAAACAGAGAGAGAGAGAATTATTGAACGAATATTCTTCATCAAATTTAATTTTTCTCAATAGAAGAAGAAGAAGAAGATAAGAAATAAATGATGATGATGATAATCCTAAACAAATTTCATTTTTGTTCATTGAGAAAAAACAAAAACAGACAGACAGACTAATCGAAGAAAATCGATTCCAGTGTTTTCCATTATAAAATGGAAAATCGATTCGATCTAATAATCTACCCACCCAACCCCCTTATTCCCGAAAAAAAGGCCATCAATTTTTTTCTTTCACTTTTCAAAACAAATTACACCCAAAAAAATACAAATCAATATGCATAGCAGCTGGTTATCGTATTTTACAGTGGAAGGAAGGGGGGAAAAAAGCTAAAAATTCATTCAAGAGTGTCACATGTCCTAGACTTTCATGTTTTCATTGCTTTTTTTAAATGAAAAAAAGGGCAAGGGTAAAATGAATAAAAATTTGAATTTTTTTTTTGTTGCAAAGTTTCATAAATGTAATATGAATCTTATGCAAAAAAAGAAAAAATTAACCATTTATGATCAAGTATGGGAATTTTTTTTTTCACAATGTGTGTGTGTGTGTGGGTGGCTGAAAAAAAATCAATTCGATTCATTTCTTAATTCGATATTAATGTCATGAATAATTTTTCTGAAAAAAACTAAAAATTTGAAATGAATTCAGCAGCCAAGAAAATCTTTCATTATTAATATGAAAAAAGCGAGACATTCAATAACCAGAAAAATGTGAAAAGGAAAAGTAAATTTATCGAGTTTTTATTTACAATTTTATTGTCGTTGGTGGTATACGTAATCATCAGTTTGTCATATTTTAGGCAAATTTTGTCGAAAATTCTTTGATTTGACAGCTTAAAAAGACTAACAAAATTGGCTTGTTTTGTTGTTGTCCCTGTTTACCAAAAAAAGTATTTATCTTCGCCACCAAACACACACACACAAACAAATTGATTATCATTGTTGGTGTTCCATAAACAATATTGATCGATAGATTTCCAATACTCCAAACTCTCTTCAATAAATCAAGTGTCGTCTATTTATTTATCATCATTATCAAACAGTGTCAAACAGCGTCAAGATATTTTGTTTTGTTCTCTATCGATTGATTGGTTGTTGTTGTTGTTGTTGAAGAATTAATATAACAACACTTGAACCAGGAAATTCTAAAGATAATGATTATAACTAATCAATGTTTTCTGTAAATGCTCAATGTAAATCATTCATTCATTTGACATCCGAAAACTTTGTTTCAAATGATGATCCTCGGGTCAAAATGAAATGAATTAACATGACTGAATCTTTAAAACAAAAAAAAACATTGTAGAATCGATCAATTACAAGTTAAACAAACGAACAAAAAAAATGAAATGAATAAAAGGTTCACACACAGTTAAAAGTTTCATTTTACATTATTTTTTTCAAAAAACAAACAAAAATGATCATCATAGACAAACAAACAAACAAAACATAAACATAAACATAAAACGGAAATTATAATTTCATTTCAAAAGTTTTTTTTTCATTCTATTTTTCCATTTCAGAAATAATAATGACGACGATCCATTTGATTCGATTATTTTTCATTTTCTGTTATTTATTTATTTTTTTCATATAAACTTACTTAGTTGCACAACATCACACACACACTGGCAGACAGGCACGTAACATAGATTCGTTATATATTCTCTTTCTTTTTCTCCAAAATTTTCATGCACAATTTTTTTTGATAAAAGAAACATGGTTAGCTTAACGGTTCGCCAACAACAAAATCAACATCAACACACACAGGGTATGATCGTTTCAATTTTCATCAATTTCTGATTCTTTAAAAAATGAAAATAAATAAATAAAAAACAAAACAAAACAACGAAAGAAATATTGACCAAACAACAGCAAAACTATGGTGGCATAAATAATAATAATAAAAAAAAATGTAAAATCAAATTTGTGCAAAAATAAAGAGAGAGAGAGAGAGTGGATTTCAGTGGAAAAAAGTTCAAACTGGAATTTATTTTTATTTATTTTCCTGGATGTTCACCATATTTATGTGTTTGTTTGTGAATGGAATTCGTTTTTTTCTGTTGTTCATAAAATTGATGATGGAAAATATATGGTCATCAAATTGTGATTTTTTTCAATTTTTTTTATATTTTTGAAAAATGAAAAAAAATGAAAATAATAAATGTAATTGAAACTTGATCACATACGAGGGAAATATAACAACGAAATTCTATTGTTCTCGATGATTTTTCATTGTTCAAATTTTTTCACTCAATTTTTCACTCACTTATTTTTCATCACTTCAAAGAAAACAACAAGAAAAATAATAATTTTCTTCATTTCTTCAACAGTGAAAAAAATGAGAAAATTGAAATATTAGCTTCAATTGAATGTCCCAAAAAAGAAGAAAAGAAGAAATTATATAATCTGTTTGTTTGTTTGGTGATTAGAAATCAGATCAAATGGATTCTTGAACATTCATTCATTCATTTTTGTTTCAAACATTCAAATTTGGGAAAAAGAAAAGAAAAGAAAGGAAAAAGAAAAATCCATAATACTTACAGCTTTCAATTTCAATTGTACATAGTTGACTATCCATTGGAAAATATTGTAAATTCATTGGACAGCTAGCAGTCACAGTTAATCTTTAAAAAAAAAGAAGAATAAAAAGAAAGAGAAACAAATCAAATTAGCAATCGATAAAGTGATACATAATTTTGTTTTTTTTAATAATTCAATTAGTTGATTGTCACATTTAAATAGTGTATGGTCTTTGATTTCTTTTTCGTTTTTTTCGTTTGTTTTTTTCACATTGATTGAAATCGACGACGTCAAATGTACATTGGTCTTGCATTTTATCGATATTTTTCATTATTATCATTTTAATTAGTAATGAAAATGAAAATGTAACAACAAGAATAGCAAGAATAATAAATATTTTTTCTTCGTTTTTGTTTTGTCTTGAAAGAAAAATATTTGTTATTTGTCGTCGTTAACATCGTTAAGAAAGCAGACATTTTATCTCTCTAAACCTTTATTCTCTCAATATGATATCAATCTTTCTGTTATAGATTCTGGTTGTTTTTTGGGTTGTCGAATTGTTGTTTGCTCATTTTTTTTGTCGAGTTTGTGTGTGTGGGTGTCATATTCGTTGTTTTGTTTGCTTCGTTATTTTTGTTTTCAATGAAATACCATCATCAATGAATTTTATTCACTTTCATTCATTCATTGTGATGGTAATAATCAATGTTTGCATTGATCTTATAATGTTAATCCTGATGTATTATTATTATACAAGCAGACAAACACAACAAACAAACAAAATACACATTTTTTTATTATTATTATTTGTTATTCAGGCAAACAAACAAACAAGCAAGCAAATATTTGATGATATAGAAATCAAGAATTTCTATGAATTTGTTATCAAGTGTGAGACAAACAAATATAGATGGGAAACAAAACAACAACAACAAAACTACAAAAATGACAATAATAATGGTCAAATGATCATTTGTATATAGAAAGAGAATGTAGAGAATTGGTTAGATGTGAAATATATGTTAAAATCGATCGATATAATGATGGTGATGATGATGAAGAATAATAGGAACAATAATAATAATAATAGGACCAAGTGAAACTTGAACAAACAACAACGAAGATTCAAATTGGCATCATTTTTTTTACTTGACTTTTTCTGCTTTTATTTATTATTTGGAATTTAGCCTTATCGGTCAAGATCTATGAACAATTGTTTGATATGATGATGATGATGACCATCATCATCATTGTAATAATGAATGTTATAAATCAAAAAAAAAAAAAAGAAGAGAATCCTATATATATTTCAAATGACATAGATGGATAGATAGTGTTGTTGTTGTTTTCACTCTCTCTTTTTCCTTTCTCTTTTTGGCATGTTTGTTTCTTGTTTTTTTTATATATTCAGAATGTATCCAACTGGTCATCTAATCAAAAAAAAAACCAGAAGATTTTGAAAATAGGATAAAGTATCCTTGTTTTGTTTTATTTTTTGTTGGTTATGTTTTGGTGTTACAATTCCAATTTCTTCAAAACAAAAATAACATCTAATATTTCTTATATATAAAAAAATGAAACAAACAAAAATCCAATTCACTTGTGTTTACTTGAATGATTGGAAAAAATAAGATAATAAGAATTCATCATCAACAACAACAACAAGAAACAAACATCAATTCAGCTAACTTGTCTTCGTTGTTGTTGTTTTGTTTCTCGGATTAGATTAGATTTTTTCTGTTTTGTTTTCTGTTTTCTGGTTCTTCTTCTTCTTCTCGCATTGTTTTCCATTATTTTATTTTATTTTTATAAGTTCCGTTTATTTTATTTCATTTCATTTCTTAAACTTGTTCGTCAACATCATCATTGTCTTGAGCGTTGAAAATTGAACTTCAATATAGATTTTTTTTTTCGGCTTTTTTCCGTTATTTTGCCTGGACATTTTTCGTTATCGTTTTTTTTATATTTTATGTTTGAAAGCCAATTACCGTCGTCGTCGCCGACGTCGACGTCACAGGCGCTATGATGCCGCTAAAAAAAACGACCACAATGGTCGGCATTCAACAACAACAACGAGAAGAAAAGTACCACATTTTCACCCAGGAAAAAAAAAATAGGAAGAAATAAAGAATACAAAGAAGAAGAAAAAGTAATTTTTATTTTTGTTCGTTCGTTTCTCATCTCAAACAAAACAAAAAAAAAAACTTGACTATAGTTGATTTCGTTTCGTTATTTTTCTCACTATTTACTCACTCACACACACACACTAACTTGCTATTTTTTTCCCCCGTTGATGTTCATCATCATCATCATCATTCTAACAAAACAGAATTCAGAATTTTCAACTTCTTATTCGTTGCTGTTGTTGTTGTTCCATTCTTCATTCAATCGTTCAATTGTCTTTTTTTTTCTTCTTTTGGATTCTTTTATATTTAATTTTGTTTTTTTCCTTTCGCTTTTGCTCTCTGTATGTGTGTGTGTGTGTTTCTCATTTGTTCAATTTAATTTTTTCTTCTTCTCTCTCTCTCTGTTGTTTGTAATAGTATTACTTCACACAATGTTTGAACTATGACTTTTAATGTTCAATGACTGAACAATGATGATAATAATAATAAAAGAAGAAAGAAGAAAAATTCTTTATTTTTTTCATTTTTTTATTTATTTTTTATTTATTTTATTTGCATCATTTCAATTCTGAAATTGGATATAAATATTTTTCCGTTTTCTCTTGTTTCAATTTTTTTTTTGTTTTCGGGGAAATCTCTCTCTCTCTCTCTCTCTCTCTCTCTCTCTCTCTCTCTCGCTGATAAATATAGAATAATTTTATGAGCAAAAGTGAGAAACTTTTTTTTCGGGCAATAATTTCAATTACGAAATACATATCACGTATATAATGATGATGATGATGATAATAATGAAAAGCAAGAGAGAGAGAGAGAGAGAGAGAGAATTGTATTGTCATTTCTTTTGGCTAGATACTTAAGAATTTTTGCTTTTTTTTCGTTTTTCGCTTTTTTCTTCAAACTCATCAAATATTACTGAATTGAAATTTCTCTCTCACTCACTCTCAATGTGCTTCATGATGATAATTAATTTTTTTCTTCTTCGTCTCTCGTTGACATTTTACTTTTATTCTTTTTGTTCTCTTTGAAAAGTTTTCATTTGTCTTCCAATTCAATTCAATTCGTAAGAAATTCTAGATCTTCATTTAATATTTTTGTCGTCGTCGTTTTTTTGTTTCGCTTTGATACCTTATTTCGTTTTTCGTTTTTGGAATGAATAAAAAACGAACTTGATTCGTTTTTTTTCCTTTTGAATTTTACATTATTATTATTATTATGTAACAACTGTATTCAATGAAATAAAAGTTTTCTGTTCTGTTTTTGGGTTGCTAGTTTCAATCATTTTCAAACATTGTGTTTTAGTTTAAACAACTACATACTAAAGACATTTTAAATATGTCTATCCAAAAGAAGAAGAAGAAAAAAACCGCTTTTGATATGCCTTTAGGCATTTTGTATGAAGAAAACTACTGCTGATAGAGAGAATCTGTAGAATCAAAGCAGAGAGAAAAAAGATTTCTATGATAAAAATGCATTATATAATTCTGTAAGATGATGATGGTAAACGAAACAAAATGAACCAACCAACTGATTCGTTTTTGGCTTTCTTTCTTTCTTTCTTTTGTTGTTGTTGATAGTGTCAGATAAAATTCATATCAATCTTGTTTTGCTTTTCTAATTCCACCATTTTCATTCTCTTCCTATACAGCCGACTGTCATTTATATTTGGAGAGATGAGATGAGATGAATGAAAAAAAGCTATTAAATCGAGAGAGAAGAATGAGAGAGAATATTATGATAAAAAAGGATTATGATCGATAAAAAGAAAAATACAATTTTGAATTGATCATCAATTTTGTTCTCGTTGTTGTGATATGTATTCATTTGAAATTTCTAATGGACAGTTATTTTTTTTTTGTCATCATTTTGGTTGGTTTCCAGAATAATAAAATTCTGCACTTTATTCTTTTCCACACTAAACAACAACAACAACAACAAACCAATAACAATAGAATCTGATATGTGACATGGAATAATATTTGTCCAAAATTTGAAATGATTTTTTTTGTTTGTGTGTCATCATTATTATTAGGGTCTTTTTTTTCGAAAAAAATAAGTTTGTTTCAAGCTTAAAGCAATTTGGTAAATGTTGCGGATATTGTGGTTATTATTTTCTGGCTTTGGTCAATTGATGAATGTTATCTTCTCAACTTTATCCAAAATAGCTTAGCTTTGTTGTGATATTGGTGAGCAAAAAAAAATGTAAATCATCGATGATTTTTAACAAAAATTCAAATAGCTTGGTTCAATGTGAATCAAATATAATGATGATGATGACTAGAATTCAAATTGAATTGAATAGAATGTTAATAATTTCAGACCCTTCGGCCTTTTTTTCCCCATGTTCTTTGCAAATCTTTTTTTTTCCGAATTCAAAATGCATGCTGCTTTCGTTTTTTCTTCGGTTCCCTTGATTATCATCATCACACAGATTCAAAATGAATCAATAAGATATTTTTGAAATAAATGTATCATACTGTTTTCTTTTAAGTAAATGGGAAAAAAAAGACAAAAAAAAGCAAATATATCCAGGATATTGCTAAATGGAAGTTTGCTGTTGTTGTTACTATGTGTGCATCAACACTATTGAGTTTTGTCTTCTTTCTTGTTCAACAATTTTCTATGGCCATTTCCCTTTCAATTTCAATCATTTCTTATTTTTAACATTTCTTTTTTCTGTTGGCTAGAATCTGGAAAACTAAACTATGATTTTTATGTCAGGATTCGTTTTCAAGGATGACATGAAAAACAAATTGAACGATTGATCACACACACAAAATGGAGAAAATAATGATGAAAAAAAACGGTCAATATTTTTCATCAGAATCAACATTTAAAAAAATGAATGAATAAAAACATTATCTTTGCTATCCTGTGCAACCATCATAGACTATCATCATCCTCATCATAATAATCATTATTTTCGACAACTTAAACGAGAAAAATAACATCATCACGAATACAACCACCCACATAAAACA